AATGTCCTTTGGGTTTCTTCCCCAGGCCATAACTTCTGACATTTCCAGCTACTTTAGTCTTTTCATCTATCGTAGTCTATCAATTAATACTGATGATTCAAATTGTATAAAAGTAGAAGCTTGATATCAGTAATTTGATTTACATGTAAGCCTACCCAGATCTCCTTCTGCTTGTGTATTAAAGCTTTAAGCGTTTAGCTTTGTATCATACCATTTTATTGAAGAAGTTGGCTATGGTTCTTATGGTCACATGCTGTACTTGAAGACCTGAATTTGAGTCCTAAGTACTTCATGGTCTTGGTGACTCAGTTTGCTTTTTTTTGACTGTTTTCCAAAATTACAATTTGGAATGAAAATACTTTTTATTTGATATTACTGAGATTTATTTTTTGTTAAAAATGCTTGCTGTTTGCTATAATGAGAGCTATAAAAGCTCTGTAATTATTTTTGCAAAGATTTTGCAAATCTTTGAGATTTTTAGACCTATCTCCTGAAACTATGTTCCTTCTGTGAAAACATTTGCATTGTTTCAGCTGAAAGTACAATTGTTCATAACATGCAAACTGGACGTGAGATACTGCTTTGCACTAGCTATTAATCTGCTGATGAATTGATTCTTGTAGAGACTGGAAGGGATTTGTGTAGAGTGCAAACTGAATAGAATGAGTTTCAAAAATGTCTGGCAATGTAGAATGCTGCTTGGGTGTGAATTAAGATGTTCAGAAGCTGCACAGTTTCTTGAAATCTCAATCCTTTTTAGCCATCCATAATGCCATCAATGCAGAAGTGCTTCTTAGAGTTTCTAGAGTACAAGAAAGTAGGATAACTGGGTAGATGAAGCACCAGTTCTGATGGGTTGTAAAAGGTGTGAGGCTGCAGTTTAAGAATTTACATACTCTGGCTGTGGTTGTGATTGACTTGCAGAAGTGTGTTCAGCTTGCAAGCTTTATGGGATATTGTTACAATGCCTGTATTTGGGCACTTAGCTTGTCCCAGTTGTGTAGTGAGATTCATTATTGCTGAATCCCTTCACTGAGGCTTAAGGCCAAGCATTTTGTCTTGTGTTTTGCTGTAGGGTGGGAACAAGCACATAGTCAGCTTAGGAGTCTTAGCTGATGGGCAGCAACTTGTTAAGTCAGGATAACTCAGTTTTGTTTGTGTGTCTGTATTTTGAGGCATTTCATTTGGAATGTGTGCCACCTAAATGATAACTCTCTTAAAAGTGAGGCTTTTTAATTGAGAAATAGCGATTGTGAGATAAATTTGTCATAGGAAAGAAGACAGAAGGTACTAAAAAACCCCCATGCATGAATGAGGGCTGGGAAGTTCCAGAATTTTGTGTTTTTTCCAAAGTATGTGCATCCACCCTAAAATTGTACTAAATCAGGTTGTCAGGAGGAACTGTCATCCTGAGTATGTTGCTACGCAAATAGGCTCTGCCATGTTAGATGTTACTGTCTCAAACTTTCCTAGGGTATAGATACATGTCTTCTGATCTCACGGGCAACAGCAGAAGTTTCTGCCTCTTTCTTCTGTCTTCACTAGAGTTTAATGGTGTGGCCATTTTCTCTGGACTTCACAGGTTCATGTGATGGCTTCTAATCTGTTTGGGTCAAAATAAGCTTTTTTTTAGCAGAGACCAGCTACTTTGCACTTTAAGCTCACCTGCTGTTCTTTGGGAATGAAAAGCAGCAGGACTGGTTGGTCCAGCTGATGAGGAATCATGCATTTACCCACTCAGTTCTATCATGTGCTGCTTTGAGCTGTCCTTGAGAGAAACTTGAGTCTTTTCGGCTTTCTTTGAGGGATGTGGTCAAGTTCATTCCCAGGTGATTACAGTTCTCATTGCAAAAATTCCTTTTCCACTTTCATCTGAATACTGTGATGTTTGGTGTATAATGTTAAAGGTCTACCATATTCCATTTTGGAGAGTTTCATGTTGCAGAGGAAGAACAAAGAAAGCTGGTACTGAATGAAAGAATAGGTCTTGTTCAAGTGTAGGATTTACATCTGTTTTTATAGTGTGATATTCCAATTCAGGAGTCTTTATCTCATAGGGCCAAAGAATACCCAAATGTTTTATGATAACCTAAGAAATTGTTCCCCAGGCACTGGTAAATGGTTGTTAAATGTTGGGAAAGTTCATAGTAATAGATAAGTGTAAAATCTCCCTTTCCTGGCTCTCGGTATTGGTACTTCAAAGGACTGTATAGCTGTCTGTTTGCTGTGTCTGCAATGTCACGGGCATCCACTGAGAAAGCCAACAAATGGACCAACTTGTTATTTGTCAAGGTACTTCTGTATGATCTGCCTTCTGCGTGTTTGTGAGGTTGGTTCATTGTCCACAGGCAACCGTGAATGTAACTCACTGCTACTGTTCTGGGACCAGGATGGTACTATTACTGCAAAGGAAAGAGAGTTCATCTCCATTTAAAAAAAAAAAAGTTTGATTACCTCTTAACCACTCTTCAAGTAACATCTCTGTAAGATATCTTTTTTTCCTTTCTCCCTCTTTGCATTCATGAATTGGTTCTTTGGAAAAGAAATTAATTGTATGCGTTAATATCTTCTGTGTTACTGCTTTCAGCACATCACAGTGAATAAATATTATTTTATCAGGCCACTCAGCAATAATGACCATTAACCTGATTGTTAACTGCTGGGTCTCAGATGGAATGCTGAATACAAGCTTGTTCCAAAATGGCAGAATCTGGCTCTCCTTTTTACTGTAATAAAGCTGCTTCTGTTTGCAGCACTGTGTTGCTGGGAGACTGCAGCTAATTTTTATGGCGCATGTCAGTAGTAGTGATTCAAATTATACATTTCATTGAGTAGCTCTTCTCTTTGTTTGTAAACTGACTTCTATGAGGGGAGAGAATTTTTTTTTGTTCTGGGGAGAACAGTATCCAGATCAGAGAAAATGACTGAATCTGGAACAAAAGCGTAGATTGTTCTGTTGATAACATCATTGTACTTCCAAAGTCACTCCGGGGGGGATGGTGGCCTGGCTGAATTTACACCAGTCTAAGAGTCAAGTCTAATGCAGGTATTGAGGAGAATTCCAGGTGAGGCATATGCATCTCCTCAAACTGCTGTTTTTCTTTTCGAGACTCCATGGTGCAAAACTTCAGCATGTGGTGTGACTTTAAAGCAAAACAACAAAATAGACTCTGAGAGATTATGAATTAGAAAACTATGTAGTTTTGGTTTACAACAAAGATACAGTGGCAATTTTGGGGGTCTGTAGAAAATGCAGTCCTTTTTAAAATGATGGTTACACAGCTTGCATGTGGATCAGGACATGCATGCAATTACAGTGGCAAAAAATGGGTGTAATTGGGCATGCACCTAAATGAGAAAATACATGTGTAAGGTGGAATCTGACTAATAAGTTAAATCTTTCACTTGCTGAATCTGTACTCCTTTTCTGGCTAAAGGAGATGGTAGTCCTTTTCCTGATGTTCATGTTCTGCTTAGGTTTTTAGCAGTGTCTTGTTTTTAATCTTGCTTGAGGTGCCTTTATAAAATGGTGTGTGTGTGTGTCTGAAGCCTGCTTGCTTAAACACGCAAGTCATGTCAGCTGCAATGCGGCAGCGCTTGGTGCTAATGAGGTGAGCAGCCAGAGCACCCGTCTGCTTATGTTTTCTCATCTGTGCAATTATGGCAATGGGGATTGGAAAAAGGGATTTGTATTGGATATGGCTCTGTTTTGGCCTTTCCAGAGTCCGGTTCTGTGTCCTGAGGACTGGGCAGCATATTTCTACTTCCATTTTGGGAGTTAGGTGGTTGCTTCACTATATTTAAGGCAAGCTCTAAAATACATCCTGGTTGGGAGAAGAAAAGAGGAAGTACAGAGAGGGGGACACCCTACCCCCCCCCCCCCCCCCCTTAATTCAGGTGGAGCTTGAAATGTGATATATTGCCTGGCAATATGTGTCTTCAGGTTGAGTAGATGCAAGCCTGTATTTGAAAAATAACGTCTTTGGAATAGAGCTAATCAGGTAATTAATTTGGGCTAGATCTGAATAGTTACAGCTGGCCTTTCATAGGCACAGAAACGCAGATGCACTGCGATTTCTCAACTCACCTTCTTTCTTTTTTTAACCCTTAAGGTGCTGACAGCAGTGTGAGCTGTGTATTTTATGCTGAAGTCAGAAAGTTTTACTTTGAACATAAGGCAAATAAAGTGAATATCAAATCATATTTGTCTTTTCCCATCCTCAGATGCCAGACTGTCTTCATCAAGCTTGATGCCTTCCCGTTCAATCCTATCGTATTCCCATTCCTGCAGCCTATCTTTCAGTGTTTCTTTTTCAGAGACATAGTCAGTAAAACTATAGGTCATGATTGAGTAATACATTGGTCTTGGTGGCGAAGCTTGGCTTTCCTTCTAGTTCCTGCCTTAATGTCATGGTGTGCTGCCCTGTTAGTTGATAAAGTTATTTCTGAGTACTTACTTAGTATAAATCAGATTATTGAAATCACCTGTGTTAAAAATATTTTTTTTAAAGGGTCATATCTAATCTCTGTTACTTCGGCGATATGTTGTGTAACGTGATACTACAAACAGGGGGATCAATACAGCTGGTACTTGGAAAGGTATGAACTGTATCATGTAGACAAGAACCAGGAGTAGGAGGCAGGAACCTCCTGACCTGTTGATACTGCTGTTGTGAAGGTAGTGTGCAGCTAACACCCATAGAAAGGGTGATGTGTCAACCTATTAAAAGAAATCCTTCATCCTAGGAAGGAGCCCAAGATTGTGTGCCCTAATACAGTCTGTTCTTTGCCTAATCCTAGCTTTAAGTGGGTTAAGAGTGACATGTATGAAACAGCACAACTGACAAGATAACTTTTTAGGGAGAGCTGCGCTGTTTTAACACTCCCTGTTGAAGTCTGGTATCTCTGTTGTGATCACATATAGTGCAGTATTTCTTTGCCTGTTTACCTTCACCTGAAGACCTTGCAGTTGATTGGGATGTTTTTCTCTTCCTTCTTTAGGTCTCCGGGTGAATGGGGAGCTCATTACTGCTTACCCACAAGTGGTGGTTGTGCGTGTACCAACACCTTGGGTCCAGAGTGACAGCGATATCACAGTCCTTCGCCACCTAGAGAAGATGGGCTGTCGATTGATGAATCGTCCCCAAGCCATCCTCAACTGTGTCAACAAGTTCTGGACGTTTCAAGAACTTGCTGGTCATGGTGTGCCTCTTCCAGACACTTTTTCATATGGTAAGGCTTTTGGATCAAAAGGATAGCATAGTTGCCTACCATAACTTATGCTTTTGCAGTGCAAAAGATATGAGTCAAGTTTTGGAAATCCAGAGAATTAAGTAGCATGAGGCTAGTTCCACAGATAAGCGTTCAGTAGCCAGAAAAGGAAATTAAAGTCACAACACTCAGATTCTGTTTTTGGCTTTGTTGATTAGCTGTGATGCTTTGGGAAGAGTACCTCAGCCTCCCAAGCAACTAACTTTGGCTGTTACTACTAAAACACTTCGAACTCTTTTCCAGTTGCCCGAAACAACAGACAAGAACTTGGGGAACTAAATGTCATAGGATACTATAAAGATCTAGACTTTGGTAATACCTGAAAGTAGATGAAACTTCTATATGAATAAAAATATCTGCAAATATATTAGTTATTGTGAAAGGACAAAAAGAGTACAGGCCCTCGTGTTCAACTTCTAACAATTGTTTGGCGTTTGTTTCCCACCAGAACAGTTAATTATTAATGTTTCTTGTGCCTGCTTCTGGAGTCCGTGGTTCCTGACAGAGTGCTAGATTAGAGGAACCATTTGTCTGAGCTACCCTGATGCTATTTCTGCTTTTAATTACAATACATTAAAGAATTGGAGATACCTCTCAGCCTTCCTTTCCTTCTTGGGAAATACCAGTGCTTTCCTCCCCTTTGTGTGGTTGCACCAATAGGCTTTTGTAATGGGAACTTGTCAAAGACAGACAAACTTGACAAACACAAAAACATGGGTTTCCACCAATTACTATGAATTACCATTTTTTCCATCAATTACTGTGAGAACACATTTGAGAAGAAACATACCCTTTCTTTATAGATGTGGTTGCTCTAGCTCTTTGAGAAAGGAATGAGTTTTTAATTTTTTGGAGGGGAATGGGAGACCACGAATGATGGGGTAATTGCAGAACATCTCTGGTCGTAACTCCCTGCCACTTGTTTTAATGCCTGCCTTTGGAATTTGACAGAAGCATGACCTTTTTTTTTTTCTCTTTTCTTTCTTTCTTTTTTTTAACACAAGTATCAAGTAATCAGTGAGAGCTGGCTTTGCCAAGAAAAACAGGATGTGCTGAATGACATGTTATTCCATGACACGCATTAAAATCCATGGCAGGGTAGTGATGGCTGCTGCTGGCTTTGTGACCAGTGTCTTGGCTTGACTTCTGCGATGTACTGCACATGCTGTTAGAGGAGTCTCATCCCTTTGTCTGCTGACTTTCTCTTCCGTATTTCTTGTACTGTGGTCAGCCTTCTGTGAATTGAAATGAACTCAAGTAACCTTGAAATATCAACCATAATCATGTGAATGGTCATTAAAAGCTACTCTCTAAGGTCCTTACAGATGCGATGAGATGAAAAGGTTGAAGTACTACTTCAGGAAATAGGGACAATGAGATGCAGGAGACTTAAGCCTTGGAAAGGGGGGAGGTGGAGTGACAAGATTTGGGTTGTTGCTGCTCTCTGGATTATGCCTTGTCTTTGTATTCCATGTTGCTTTCCTGGTTAGTGGTTTGGATGGAACTGTTACTGGTGTAACGTCTGTGTTATTTTCCTGCTAGACATTTGAAAAGGTGGGAGTTAATAAAAGTAAAAGGGATAAAATGGAACAAGATGGTAGAATTGGGGCATTCAGATTTGGAAGATTGGATTGAGCCTTTTGGGGTTGCGATCAAGAGGCCTTTGTCAACTTGTGTCTTCCATTTCAAAAGAAGTAGGAGTTAGTATCCCACAGATTACAAACACTTTGAAAGTCTGATCATGCTCCATGACCAAGTTCCTCTTAACTGATAGTTTTTTCTGCATTATCTAAGCTGTAAGGGTGGGAGGAATGTATGGCAATTACATCCCCAATTTGGCCACATCAGATTGGTGGCACATAATGTTGTTGGTTTTCTTTTTGCCAGGTGGTCATGAGAATTTTGCCAAAATGATTGATGAGGCGGAAGTGCTGGAGTTCCCTATGGTGGTGAAGAACACGCGGGGTCACCGAGGTGGGTGTGAGGTCAGGGGTGAGGGCAAGGAGTATTCTGAGCAGCACTCTTAAGATTTTGTCTCGTCAAGGGATGATAGTTAAGAAGGTCTTGTATTAGGTGTTGGACTTCCTTGCAGTACATCTGAATTCTACCACACTTCGACTTCTGAATGTTGAGTAGGCTGCAATGCTGGGAAGCAGTTTTAGTAGAACCTAGTCTTGCAATAGAAGGGGGGATAGGGGTTCAAAATTACAGTGCATTGGTGACTTCTGTGAGGAGAGCTTTGAACTGGAATAATGGAAGGTCTGGCTTTAGGGAGGTAGAGGGAATCCTACATGGATTTTAGGGATGTTTCTAAATGGGCATAAGAAATGAAATCTTAGTTCACACAGTCTTAATTTGACTTTTCCTACTTGACTTTGTCTATAATTAGGATTCTGACTTAAATAAAATCTCATGTATTGTTTGACAAACTGGATCTCTGTTTTTCAGAAAAATATCTCTGACAGTGCTGGTGATAATACAGCAGGTTCAGATTAAATTGTTCTGTTACCAGTCTTTTAAGTGTTGAATATGAAACAATACAGCAATTTTGTTTAATGTTAGATGGTGATATACTAAAGGAAACCAGGTTTAAAATCAATTTCAGAGGTTATTTACAGAGGAGGTTGCACTGTTTTTAATTTACTTTAAAACCAATTTAATAAATACTAGAAGTAAAAAGAGACTGAAACCGAAGTTTAAGCACATAAACCAGCAGTTACCTTAAACAAAAGCATAACAGAAATATACGACTTCTTCGTTCTTACTGTCCATCAGTTTGTTCCCACTCTGTGCTGCTCTGGTGCATCTGTTCTGCTGTCATGAGTGTTTCTGTAGCCATGTAGTAAATGGATTCAGGAACTGATGTTGGATGAATCTAGATGGGTTATTTTTACTTGGATTAATTCCTTACATGAATTATCATTTACTCGCACAAATGCTTGTGTTGATGTAATGGAAGAGTGAGAGCAAAAGACTGGGGCAGAGGAAGATCAGACCTGCTTGTGTTGGCAGTAATATCTGTTTATAGGGTTTTAAAGTGGTTGTGGAGCTACGAAGCCAAGTTGGAGTTTGACTTTGCAGCAAGCTGAATTTGACAGCTGTGGAGTATCTGACACAGTGGATTTGTCTTGACACTGCCTCTTGTACATCTACTAAATAATTACAGAGTTTGCAGCTATTGACTTTCTTCTCCCCTTTTTAGCCAGAATTCATATAAATCTCTGTTTACAAGTTTTGCTTTATAGCACTTTAAATTCCAGGCATTTTAATGCAAATTTATGAATCGTACATATCCTTTCACATTAAGACAGTTGGGGAAACTTTTTCAAACTAATTGAAGAGCAGCCATTTGCAAATTGTATTTAAAAAAACCCAGGCAAACATGGTGATAGGTACTGGCTGATGAATAAATGTCATACTCTTCTAGGCCCATTTTCTGTGTAGTTTGCTGCTTCAGCAAATGTGCCAATCTTACTTTTGCCAAGATGTTATGATGCTGCATAATTCCCAAGAACTAAGTAGTTCCTCTCCACGGCATCATTCTTCCTATCCCATTTTAGGATTACAATAGGATTATTAAGTGCCTGTAGGAGAGCTAAAGTTGGGAATGGGAGAAAGCACATGGAGGTTTTTGCTTTCTTGTCATGATTTTTAAGCCTACATTCTGATACTCTGTGATGAGAAACTCCATGTTCCTCAAGCTGTGTTCTGTGTTATGGAGACCTTAAATCCTGATGAAGCAGAGGCTGCTCCAGTTTGGCTTTGGAGCACTTGGTGGAATTCTTCTTCACACATTATTTCTCCTAGTTCTGCTACTGCTGCATTTCTGTTCCCTTAGTTAAGATAGGCAGTTTATCAATTGATGTTTGTACTCTGTTAACATTGTAGCATAATTGAGTGACAATTCTGCCACAAAAAAAATTGTGCAGCCTTATTGCAAAACGTAAATCTAATATGACACATAAAAGAGTCCTTAAGAAAGGGGAAAGGGAGTTGGGAAATGTAGCTAAAGATGGAAAGGGATGCCATCTTGTGAGACTAGAAATGAGATGGAAAGTGGTAGAGTCTGATTCAGGAGTGACTTTGATCAGTATTAGTAAAATTGGAAAAGAACAAAGAAGGCTTTGGTGTGCTCTAGAAATGAAGGGGAATGAAATGACATGTTTTAGGTTAAACAAAACCAAGTCCTTGAGATGTTTGCTTGGGAGAAAAGCTAGTGGTTTCTAAAGAGTTTTTTTCAAAATTGTAGTACATTCCATTCATTTTATGTCTTGCTGGAATCTTCTGCTAAATTATCTTGGATACTCTGTGGAGTCTGGTGTTTTCCTCTGAATGTAGTTGTTCCACTGCAAAGCCTCATTCTGGAGTTGTGAGCTCTTGTAAGTATTGGGAAGAGCAGCTCTCAGCAACTTCCCAACGGGGAAGTGGTTGGTTCTGCAGTGGCACACTAGCGACTTCAGAGTTCTTAGCTGCCTGGTGTTTAACAGTTTCATGTCACTGGTTCCTGTGTGTCAAAGCTGTAGGCTGCAGGTCCAGTCCTCTTGGATGAACAAAACTGTGTTATTAATTAAATGTCTGCTGCTCTTTAAGCATTTCTTCCTTTTTTCTCTCATTAAGGACTTGTACCAAAAGGAGTTGAAATTACAAGACCACCTCCTTTATCTAAAGCTGTTTTCTTTTTCTTTCTCCCCCTGCCCCCCCCCCAATATGGCTCCTCAACTCTCTCAGTCAGTACTTGAACACTTAGAAGCACTGAAACAGCGGAACACTGATGTCCACAGAAGAATTTGTTCCCCCTGCCCCCCCCCCCATATGGCTCCTCAACTCTCTCAGTCAGTACTTGAACACTTAGAAGCACTGAAACAGCGGAACACTGATGTCCACAGAAGAATTTGTAAATGGGTATAAGCTACAGATGGGGCCTGTAAGAATGGGCAGCATACTGGTCAGAGGTTTTATTTTTATGCGCTGAATCATTGACGCAGCTCAAATCAGTAGCTTCTTCCAATCTTCTGATGTTCTTTTCTTCATACAGGTAAAGCTGTGTTCCTGGCACGAGACAAGCACCATTTGGCAGACCTAAGCCATTTGATCCGTCATGATGCCCCTTACTTATTTCAAAAATACGTTAAAGAGTCCCATGGCAAGGATGTACGTGTCATCGTAGTAGGAGGCCGTGTGGTGGGCACCATGCTCCGCTGCTCAACAGATGGAAGGATGCAGAGTAACTGCTCACTTGGTAGGAAAAGCATTGTTCATAGTTTTGATCAGAATTTTTCAATCCAATTGAAAAATCACAAACCCAACTGAAATAAGCTGCAGGTTTTACTTTGTATTAATTGCGCTTACTGTTGGGGGTTTACAGAGGAAAAACGAGAGTGAAGATTAAGTGAGATGTGTGTTGAGCAAACACAGGAGGAGAGACAATGTCTGCCCAGAGTATTAGACGAATAGGACGGATGAAAAGGAGGGGAAAGTTCTAAGAACACAAATGGAGCAACTGATGTGGTAGTGGCAGTGTTATGCTAATGCCATGTTATCGTTTGTTTCATCCTGTTAAGAGAAACAGAAAAAGAAGGAAGACAGAAGATGAGACTGAGGGAGGTGGAGGAGACAGCCAGTTCGCAAGAGGGTAGAAGAGAGTGTTAAGGGAGGAAACTGTTGAAGGCAGTAAACAGATTGCGTTGTGCAGCTGCTGTGCTGCCTTAAGTTTGTCTGGCTCCTCCCTGCAACCTTTTCCCCTGAAGGCCGTGTCTGGGAGGAAGAGGAAGGTTGCTGCATTGATTGTAGTATACTCCGAACTGAGTTTCTGCATAGCTTTGGGTGTAGGACAGGGGGGTTCTGAGGGTAGAAGGAGGAAGGAGGATTGAGGTTGCCTGGCTGAAACTGTTCTGAACCTGAGCAGGGATGGGATAAAACTTGTTCATGTGTAGTACAGTTTTGGTTAGTCAAAATGCCTGTGAGGTTTTAGTTGCTACTTGATGCTGAGGAAATATAGCCTGAAAGATTTTTCTGCCAAATGTTTTTTGGTTTGTTATTGTTCGTTTGGTTTGGTGTTTTGTGTGGTGTAGTGGGGTTTTTTTTTTTTAGACTTAAGTGTTGTGATAGATGAAGTCTGAGGCAGTTAATAGTTAGATGATGGACTGTGAATTGGACCAGCTGAGGCTCAGACACAAATGTTCCCTAATTCTTGCTTTAGAGACAGTAATCTACGATAGCAAGCTGAGGCGGACATGAGCAGGTGATAATGTCTTAACCCCTGTCGCCCTCAATTATATCTGTTAGAGCTGTAGTCCTATCAGGAACACTTGGTTTAATTTTGCTGAAAGATTTCTTGTAATAACTTACAAATATGTATGGAAAGCCTCTACCTTAGAAGGAACAAGGACGGTTTGTTAGGTCATCTTTTTAATATCCCAGGATCATAAAAATGTATGATATCTTTCTTGACTAAAAAGTCAGCACTTAACTGTTTTTTAAACAAGTCACAATCTTGACCTGCCTTTGGCAGGTTAGAATCTTTTGAAATCCTGCTGTGGCTTCAAGTTCATTAGTAGTCACTGTGGAAAGGAGGTTGCTTTCTGAGTCATCAGCAGTATGCTTGCAGGCTCGTTTTGGAGCTTCCCAAACAAAAAGCACCAACCAGTTGAGAAGGATGTCAGTCACCTGTGACCAGACTACAGACAGCAAGTTTTTTTTCACTTTTTCCAGGTGGTGTAGGGATGATGTGCTCACTGAGTGAACAAGGCAAGCAGTTGGCAGTCCAAGTGTCAAACATCCTGGGGATGGACGTGTGCGGCATTGACCTGCTGATGAAGGACGACGGTTCATTCTACGTCTGCGAGGCCAATGCAAATGTAGGTTTCATTGCCTTTGACAAGGCTTGTAATCTAGATGTAGCTGGTATCATAGCGGACTATGCCGCTTCTCTCCTTACCCCCGGTCGCTTGACGCGGCGCATGTCCTTGCTCTCTGTGGTGTCCACGGCAAGCGAGACTAGCGAGCCAGAGCTGGGCCCTCCAGCTAGTGCCGCTGTCGACAATATGAGTGCTAGCTCCAGCTCTGTCGACAGCGACCCTGAGACCACGGAGAGAGAGTTGCTCACCAAGCTCCCGGGGGCTCTATTCAACATGAACCAGCTATTAGCCAATGAGATCAAACTTCTTGTGGAGTGATGCCACATGTAAATAGATGACCAACAGAACTCTCTCTTGTAAATTTTTTTTTAAACCAACTTGCAATGCTGTTTATCGGAGAAGCTCAGAGGAATGAGGAAAGGGGGGGGGTGTCAATCAAGAGCGCAAAGTAAAAGGCACGTGTGCAGTGATTGCTGCCCCTACTTTTTTGCAGAACATAAAATTGTGTTCATTCTTCAGCATCAGTTTTCTAATGAAGATGCTCAGTTCACAACCTAAGTGGGAATTTTATTTGGATGCTGCTTTGGTCTGCAGACATACTGCAATTCATGTGTGTTCACAGGCAAGCATTGAAGCATGATTCACACTTGAAGATTTTCAGAAGGCTGTCTGGCAGCTCTCTAGAAACTTCTGTGAATTACTGCACCAGTTAAGTCTCTTCTACCTCTGTAAGGCTTGATCCTGTAAATTGCCGAGTGCCTGAAATTCTCAACATGAGTTGAAGGTGTTAAATACCAGGTATTTCAAAGTTCCTGGACACCTACTGTTCCTGCTCTTGTAGATGGGAGCTGTAAGTTCAGGATCCTTTTAAAGTCATCACTTTCTGACCTTGCAGGATATGGCCTTTCAAATGATGAGGCTGAGAGAAGTGTCAGTTGACTTAACGTGAACTTTCTGTATAAATCTATAATTTGTGCCGTCTTGGTATTAATTGGCAGCTTTGTGTCTATATTTATAAAGCTTTTGAAGGAGGATTTTAGTACTTGTGTTTTTCTCATTTCAAATCCTGATTTTGGAAGGTATGTAGGGGAATTGGTCATATTCTATTTGTGGCAGAAGTGGCACGTTTTAACTATTTTTTGCATGATTGGAGGAGATAAACAGCACTGTAATGTTTGGTATACAAAATAATGTTTAATCCAATGTGAAAAAGAATTACACTAGTTTAAAGCAAACGTGCATCGACTTGTATTTGTTAGTGTTTTAGTCTTTCTGAGAGAGATCTGCAATGTTAATGTTCCTTTTTCTTTAATACATGCTAGTCCAACACTCCCTTCTCTATGCCTGCATCTTTAACGGTGGCCAAAGTGAAAACACTGCAGACTGTATGTTAAGAAAACACTGAGTTAAAGCCTGTACGTTGGTGGGGTGTTTTTTTGTTTTGTTTTTATTTTTTGCTTTTCTTGGGGGGGAAACATGGTAAGGTGTGGAGGAGGGAAAAGTTGGTTAAAAGTGATTAGACATCTAGAGGTACTTTAGAATAAAGCTGCAGTTCATACAATACTTACCAGGCTTACTTTTTCCCCACTGAACATAAAAGCTGATGTTGGCAGAAATCCAAAGAGTATAGCTGGGGAGAAATACTCAATTCTTAGCTTTGGGAAACATGCAGAAACATGGTAAGGTGTGGAGGAGGGAAAAGTTGGTTAAAAGTGATTAGACATCTAGAGGTACTTTAGAATAAAGCTGCAGTTCATACAATACTTACCAGGCTTACTTTTTCCCCACTGAACATAAAAGCTGATGTTGGCAGAAATCCAAAGAGTATAGCTGGGGAGAAATACTCAATTCTTAGCTTTGGGAAACATGCAGCAGAAATAAAAATTAAAAATTAAAAAAAAAAAAAAAAAAAGAGGCCCCACCCAAA